GATATGAGACCCTTGTCCATTGTATGGCTAGTAAAGATCTTCTCCCAATCCGTGGGCTTTCTATTGATCTTGCTAGCTATGTCATTTGCCCTGCAGAATAGAGCCAGAATATTTAATCGCATACTGCACATCATATTTTCCTCTGTGTTTGATTTGTGTCCCAGCATGGAGGAAAAAAGGAAAGTCATTCTTCAAGAACACTGCCTGCCAGCTTCCTAGCTTGGATATTGATTGCAACTGGAATAGTTTCTGTGTTTATTTCTTTAGTTCATGAAGAGTTATAGAAGGCAAGATATAGAGAAATCAGTAAAGTTGATGAGAATAGTAAACAGAATAAAAGATGGAGAGGCATTTCTGTTCAAGTTTAGGGGAGCCTTAAACCTCTCAGAGCCAATATTGGACCTGGGCTAAGTAGAATTTCCATGCACCATTTTCACCACAGGGTGTGAGAGCACTAGGATTTAATTATCTTGTCAACAAAAGAATGGATGGGGTGCAATTGTATAGGGGGGAAGAATATACCAAGTTTTGAGTTTTTCTTTTTGACAATATACTCTTTGGAGGAATCAGGAAGTGGGAATCCTGATTCAAAGACCCCGTGTGCAGAATTTTTCAGAGCATTAAGAAGTCATAATAATCAATTAATTAGAATACTAATAAAAGATCCATGATCAAAGTCTTCTTGCAAAGGGCAAGATGGTAGAAAATCACTGTGCAATGTCCCTTTAAAAAAGAGATTGTCAAGGCTTCCAGCACAGAAGCCCCAGGCTGACCTTTGGTCACTTCGACACTTGGTGGGAGTGGTGTAGGGAAAATGGTAGATCCTCCTGTCCTACAAGACATCCCAGGAAGTGGGCAAGAATTCCATTTATTTCTCATGGATGACTTCGGACATAATAAGGGTATGTATGAGTTAGTGGTCCTTCTTAATATATGTTCTATAACTTTCCACAGAACCCTTGGTTACCTGATACAGATGAGTTCCCTGAAACTTGAATCCATAGCTTTACCTCCTGAAAGATTTTAGGAAATTTCCAAAGAGAAATAGTGAACCTGTAAGTCTTTGGAGAGTACAGTAGGATGGAGGTCGGGAGAACCAAGGACTCCACTACAGCCTCTGCTTCGTAAAGCCTTTGAGTCCATTTATACCTCAGAAAGTCTGGTATGGTAGCAGGCAAGGGCAGTAAAAGGCATTGTGTAGTCTAAAGTCCTTTTTAGATTGCTGCTTGATTGGTCAGTTAGCAGCAGTGAAAGATTGACTGTTCTGCACACCTTTTCAGCTATGCCCTTAGTTCTGCATTGTAAATTTTATGTCAGTCATGGGGCTTGAACTCAGGGCCTGACACTGTTCCTGAGGGTTTTTTTTTTCTTAAGGCTAGCTCTCTACCACTTGAGCTACAGTGCCAGTTCCAGTTTTCTGGAGGTTAATTGGAGATAAGTATCTCATGGCCTTTCTGCCAGGGCTGGCTTCCGACTGTAATCCTCAGATCTCAGTCTCCTTAGTAGCTGGGATGACAGGCGTGAGCCACCAGTGCCCAGCTACACAGTAATTTTTTTACTTTTATTTTTTAAACTTTTTTTTTACTCTTTACTATATGAAATTTCACATCTTTATCCAAATTGGTAAAACAAACAATCATTTTAAACCTTAATTCATATCTTCCTTTAACAAAGAAATTTGGTTTTAAAGACTGGAACTAACATGAAAAATTCCTTACGTGATGAAGATAACTTCTTCTCTTTTGTAAAAAAATGTATCTAATGAGTATGTTTTCCTGGTTAGTTTCATGTTTAGATCTATAAAACGGAGAGAAAAGATATGTAGACAAGAGTTATATCACACAATGCTCTTTGTCAAAGTGTCTGCTTGGCTCGGTTTGGCACTTGTACTTTATCATAAACTGTAAGATGGTAGATTTTTCTAAACCACTGGTACAAAGAGTGAATTATTTATGTATTATTTTCCATTAGCACACTGAATTTTTGTGTATCCTGGAAATTAGACTGTGAAACTCAGTAAATAATTAGTAGCTTTCTTCATAGACAACATCTCCCTTGTTGGGTGATAGATGATACTGTACATCTTCATGGAGAGCATCATATAAATTCGCAGCATATTTTTCAGTATTTTGTCATAAATACACTTCTGTGTTAATTTTCTTGGTGACCTCACTATAATTATCACATGATTATTCTAATATTCTGAGATATTCCTGGAGTCTTCTGATGCCAAAAATTAACTAAGATTACTTGATTCTGAAGACTTTTTAGGATATAAAATTCTTGCTTTAAAATAGGAAAAGAAACAAAAGTCAGTTGAATTCTAGTACCTCAAACGCAGAATTCACCAAAGGTATTTTCCAAAGTCTGTTGTTCTGAAGGTAACTCCATCTGCCTGTATCCTCTTAGATCTGTTTTGGAGATTCTATCACATCTTGCTGAAGAGAAAAATAATCTCTTGTGAGCAATTAAGTGGTCTGAAGAAAACTATAATTAGAAACTTCCTTCTAGTCAAGGAACTGTCCACATGGTTCACTCGGAGCTACCTCTCATGATCTTTTGGCTGCTCTTCTAGCTCCCGAAGAGTCAGACGTTGGAGGGTGTCAAGTTAGCCATAGATGCCGGCTTCCGCCATATTGACACTGCTTATTCTTACCAAGTAGAAGAGGAGGTAGGGCAGGCCATTCGAGGCAAGATCCAAGAGGGCATTGTGAAGAGGGAAGACATATTCCTCACCTCAAAGGTATTGGTCTATAGTGTGTAAGTGTGCAAATGAATGATGCAATGTTGAGAGATGAAATTGTGTTATTTAATCAGTGCTTACTTGTGAAAATTACTTATTGGTACAACACTTATTTGCATTTTATTCACTTCTAATACCCAATAAGAGTCATTGGGAGATAATGATTTTTTTTTTACTTACTGTGTATAAATTTTAGCTTTAATTTCTACTTTATTTGGTAAGAAAACATGATGGGAGCTTTATTGAGTAAATAAGCAAGCAAACACACAGAAAGACAGACCAAAAGAAGACAGACAAACAAGCTGGGCTCATGCCTGTAATCCTAGCTACTCAGGAGGCTGAGATCTGAGGATTGTGGTTCCAAAGCCAGCCCTGGCAGGAAAGTCTGTGAGACTCTTATCTCCAGTAAACCACCAGAAAACCGGAAGTGGCTCAACCGGTGCTGTGGCTCAAGTGGTAGAGTGCTAGCCTTGAGCTGAAGAGTTGAGGGACAGTTCTCAGTCCCAGAGTTCAAGCCCAAGACCAACAAAAATAAACACACAAAAAAAGACAAACAGAAGGACAGAGGCACACTCAAACAGTGTGAGTATTCTGGAAGGGAGATAGAGACGCACGCCCCTTTACTTTTAAGAGCCTCATTTCAATGCAAAGTTGAACTAAGCATGGGCAGTGAAACTCCAAAGAGATCTGATCAAAGTATGTTTTTCCTTATTCAGAACTGGACAACTTTCTGACATTTCTTATCATTCATAACATCAGTTTGTGGATTTCAAAGTTTTAAAGAAAATATAAAAAGTTTCTGGATAATAAACAAGATGCCGCAAATGAGTGTCCAACATACATGAAAACGTGATTCCCTTCAACCATGTAAATGGAAGGTGCTAATCACTTAGTTATGAAAATGGATGGAAACAGAGTTCATGAGTTGAATGTTATTATTGCTTCATAAAAATTTATCCCTCTAGACATTTTGTTCTTAGATCTGATAATAATAGTCAAACATGGTCAATAGGTCAGATGAAAGGAAACTCAAGATTGTGAACATCAGTTTCAATGCAGGATAAAATGTATCAATATTAGGTAAAATTAATGCCTCAACTTGAATTGCTTATTAACCCAATGAAATTCTATTCTTGAATTGCTTCAGCTTTGGTGCACTTTCCATCGTCCAGAAATGGTTCGATCTAACCTGGAAAAGTCCCTAGAAAAACTACAATTGGACTATGTTGATCTCTATCTCATTCATTATCCAGTACCAATGAAGGTAGGCAATTTATCTTAATAATTTTTTACATGAATTTTTTATGACTAATTTTGATGGTATAACCATCAATTTCTTAGAACACTAAGTGTGGCTGTAAGAAATGTGTATGTACTGAATATGTTTTACACATTGCTCTAGGAAAATTATACAACATTGAAAAGACCAAAAAATGTAGTGAACGCTAAATTAACAGTTTGGAAGTAGACCTCAGAAATGACTGTACTCATGTACCATGTTTGTCTGCATTATTAGTGATTTGCTTGGATTTTTGTCCCAGCTTTTTCTCTTGGTGGCAAATGTGACTTTGAGATAGTTCAAGCTTCATGCTCTCTAATTCTTCATAGTATGTCTGGATCTTTGACCATCAAAATCATTTATGCACAAAATTGTCTTTGTTTCATACACCTTCCTTTGGATTCAGGAGTATTCTAAACAGTGCCAGTTGTTTAGGCTGGGTCATCAATAGGTATGTTTGTGGTAGACAAGAAAATGCAACTACTGACTTTCTCTGTTTTAAAAATAAGGCATTTCACCAAAAGAAGCTTTAGGAGTAGGCAGAGGATAACATATAGACACAGTGGACCTGTGAAAATATTTGATAATATATTTTATTGATCTGAGAGAATGGAACAGCCCAGAGATTTTTTTTAGGACTTCACATGCAAGCCTTTTCATGGATATCAGGTGTGGTATGGTCTCCACCTATTTTCATGCATACTCAGGTTTGGGTGATTGAATGGGATTGATGTAAGTCCTTCTTTTCTAGCCAGGGAAGGAAGATTTTCCAACAGATGAACATGGAAAGTCAATGTTGGACACAGTGGACCTTTTGGCCACATGGGAAGTGAGTACTTGAGGGAGAGACTACAGAGGAAGCTGGACAGGGAGAGCTGGGTCATGTCTCCATGGTATAGAATGGGATGGATAACCTTGGGGGTTGAAATTCACTGTATTGATGATGGTGTTTTCCTGCAGTGGATGTGAAGGATCCACTAATGGAATCTAATAGTGTGTGAGAGAAGAAGAATTGAAAATCTTGGGTCACATATATAGTTTCCTTTTCTAACATGGTAAAATAGAAATTCTTTTTCTGCCTCTTACTCTTTGATTATTATTACCACTTTTTCTTCTTCAAAATGATTTCTAGTTAGCTTCAATATCACTTTTAGGTAGTGCTCTTTCCTTCTCCTCATTTTTCTTTTTTTCTTTTTCCTAGTTCAAGGGCAAGTGATCAACCACTGAGCAACACTCCCATTCCGTGACTCTGTGTGTGTGTGTGTGTGTGTGTGTGTGTGTGTATGTGTGTGTAAGTAGTTCAAGCTCACATCTGTGCAAGTGAGTCTTTATAACCATTTCTCCCCTAGGCCATGGAGAAATGTAAGGATGCAGGACTGGCCAAGTCCATCGGGGTGTCTAACTTCAACCGCAGGCAGCTGGAGATGATTTTGAACAAGCCAGGGCTCAAGTACAAGCCTGTCTGCAACCAGGTGAGCTGCCTCAGTCTCCTCTAAGTCTTGCATTTATTTTCTTGCATAGGTATTTCTGTCAAATACTCCTTTCCTTATTCTCACTCCGTCCATCTTTTATTTGCAGCACAGAAGATTTTAGAAGACTCAATAGATATGGAAAACGCTCAGTTGTGGTTCTGCCAGTAAAAGTTTTAGTGTCCAAATAATATGATTCTATATCATTTCATTTAGTATTCATCTATGAAGAATTATAAATGTTAGAAGGGTGAAGGTGGTCTAGGAGGAACTCTGTATAACAAAGACACCTGTGGAAACAATGCACAGCAAAGAAAGAGAGGGAAATATGTGACTGGTTATTGCTTGTGTGGAGTTTGGATGCTTCTCTCCTGTGTTTTTTGTATCCCTGGCTTTAGTGGTCTGGATCACACCTATAAAAGGCAAATGGGAAAGGCATGCAGGTTAGACTATTGTGTCATCTGTATATAGTGATATTAATGGTGCATGAAATGGGTGCTGGAGAACTCATCAAAGAACGTAGAGCTGACTCGATACCTGAAAACTTTTTAGTTTCTTTGCTTCTCTTTGCTTTCTGACTGCTAATCAGATTTTAAGTATATTTTTCCTGTTCTTGATTCTGTGCTGTCATTTACTTTCTGACTCCTTCCAGGCACGGGGTAAGGACTTTTGATTGGAAATACAGGTTACAAATTGCTCAGCTTTTATACAATGGTACAACATTTGGAATTCACAATATGAATATTTACAAAGTTAATGAATTTTAGTATTTGTTTTTGTTCATATGTTTTAATCTTTATCCCAAATAGCTGACATGTTGTCACATTTCAGAGGATTTCTGTGGGTTGATCTGCATATCTCTCTAGTATTTTGTTGAATTTCTTCAACACAAGCTATAGAAATCTCCAGAGACCTCAGGGACATGTAAGAATGAAGACATTCTCTTATACACAGTCAATCATAATCCTATGAGTACACCCAAGAGAATTAATGATAATTTCCTTAGCTCATTTCAATCCAACGTACATTCATATTTCCTGTGGATTTCTGAAACCTCTCACAGTTCTCTCTTTCTGAGTTCCCACTCTCATCTCTGTGTTCCCTTGTGGTATGCTTCTCAAGCTCTTGTAAGCCCGATGAATCACCTCATCTGTGTCTTTGAAATACAAAGCTAATAGCTTTTCGCATATTTTGGTTTATTAAATTTTTGTCTTATGACATCATTGAGTTTTTTGCATTTCAAGGGTTTGTCAATTAGAATAAGACTTGAGTTTTTATTAGATTAAGTTCCAACATTTTGGGCCAGAAATATTCTTTGGGATATTGCATCTCTTAAATACTACCACGTTAGGAAGTGTGCTATCATTTTATTAAAAAGGCCCAGCCAGAACTCTTCTTTGTGAATATTTGGTTTCCTGTGCAGTTAATACTAGCCTGGCTGTCAATAGTGAAGTTCTTATTTCAAAATTAACTTTCAAGTTATTTCACATTAATACTTGAAGAGTATTGATTGATTTTTGCAAGAATTAGATGCCTCCTTGGAGTTTGTGAGTAATGATGGTTTTAATTAAATCTAATCCATTTACATTTCTTTGTATCACGCAAACAAATTACTCATTACATAAAGATAAGTGACAATTATTTATGAAAGACAGATACGTTGATATATTCCAATTCAAAAATCACTGTTCTCAGAAGTGAGTTAAAGTAATTTTATCCACCATTGAGAGGGAGAAGGGAAATGTGTTTGTTCTCATTGTAGGACATTTGCTTTGAGTCAAGATGACATTACATTTCACTCAATGAGTCAGAATGAAGGTGACTCTTTATTACTGTTAATGCATAAATCAGACCAAGTGTCACCAGCAAATGCCACCAACCTAGTCCTTCTGTCCTTCACTTGTAGTGATGTCATGAATCATTAACCAAACTCTTGATTTATTGATGATTTCAGAACAAATGTAATGCTGTATAGGTTTGCATTATTGTTCAGCTCTGTTTACTTTCTCCTTTGTGCCAACATTGATGTTTCATGTAAGATGACATACTTCAGTTTTATCTTTTTATTATCTTGAAGTGCAAAAGAGGTGCCATATAATAACACAGTTAATGAATACACTGCATTTTGATCAGTATCACCCTCCTTCAACATTCTTACTCCCTCTCGAACCACCCCTTCCCTTACTTTTCTTAATTTTGTAGTATGCACTATGAACTCTTGACTGGGTTCTCTCCATATTCCCCATTCTTTTGTGTTCTCCTCTTGGCCCCACCCGCCTCTTGCAGGTACTTGTTTCCTGGTGCTGATTTGGTTGAGCTTTGACCTAGTCTTTCTTAAAGATTCTACTATTGGAGCTCTTCATGGGGTCTCTTACACCTCATTTAATCTGTCACCATTTGCATACTATCCAACATGTTTACATATAGATTTAAAGTTACATTCAATCTGTCGTAAAATGAAGGAAGCAATGCAACCTTTGTTTCTATGGGTCTAATTTATTTAAGATGATTTTTTCTGTCTTTCAATTTCCTTATGAATAGTACATTATCTTTCTTTCTAATAGATGAGTAGAATTCCATCGTGTTTGTATGTGTGTGGTGTGTGTGTGAATATATATAATGTGATATATATATATATATATATATATATACACACACACACACACACATATATGTATTGCATTCTCTTCTATCTTGCCCATGCACAGGTAGAGTGTCATCCCTACCTCAACCAGAGCAAGCTTCTGGATTTCTGCAAATCCAAGGACATTGTTCTGGTTGCCTATTGTGCCCTGGGATCTCAACGACCTAAACGATGGTAATTAGTACAATACCAGGTTTCCATAAAATACCACTTGGCTGCATTGTTTAATCCTATGTGCTTAGTTGTCAGAGTTCATTTTAAATTGGGTTGGGGAAGAATTCACATTTCAGAGGAAGCCCTCAGAGATGCTGTCCCTTCTACCCTGGCCTAGTCCTGGTGGAGAGTGGAGTATTCTGGCATGTTTTGCAAGTTTCCCAAAGATGTGAATACTGGGCCTGTGCATTTCAGCCTTTCTGCCTTTACTTCCAGGGTGGACGCAAGTGCTCCAGTGCTCTTGAATGATCCAGTGCTTGTTGCCTTGGCAAAAAAGCACAATCAAAGTCCAGCTCAGATTGCTCTTCGCTATCAACTGGAACGCGGGGTTGTGACCTTGGTTCAGAGTGTCAAAGACAAGGAGATAAAAGAGGACATACAGGTGATGAGTGGTGCTGTGGGCATCAGGTCTCCTGGAAAGAATTCTTTGCTTGTATACTGCCATGGATCCTCTGAGCACAGTTTAGCATAAATTATGGCCCCTCATAGTTCCTGTGGATAAGAGATTGCAGGAACTCTTGTAATCTTCTCACCCCCAGCTCAACTAAGAAACAGTACAGCCTACTCAAAGAGGGATTGGTGAGGGCACAACGATTTGGATTTCAGCATGAAGTCAGCAGTGTACTTTGAATTCATGTGCAAGGGATGTATTTTCTCCAATTCCTGAAAAGAAGGATTTGGATTAGGTAATTTAGATGACTGAAATTATGATAGTTGTGGTTTGCACTTCCTTCTAGCTATGATGGACTATGTTTATTCATTTGGAGGGTCTTCCTTCAAATAGGAATCCTTTCTATCTTGCTCATTTTTCTAGATTGTGGATCCTTGTAGTACTAATCACCCCTTACACAATCCTCTTAGTACAAACTACATTTAGGTTCATGATTCTTTAGCTTGAAATTTTGCCATTGCTCAAGCCTGAACTCATCCAAGTTTTTCTGTCTAAGTTAAGTTTGCTCACGTTAGTCAAGAAACTACTGTCATGTATGGTAGGATTTGAAGACCTTCTATTATTAATTAGTCAGCCTCCTGAGGTTCCCAACTCTAGTTTTCATCTACCAACCAACTAGCCCAGATTCTTCTCTTCACATAGTACCCTACCAACTCCATGAGAACTTGCAAAGCCTTTTAGGCGTAGGTTTAACATGGTCACATCATTGCTTTTGCTCATTTCTAACAATCAATGCAAATTACAAAACAGGCAAAATTCAAGGGGTGAGGGAACTGACAAGAATTCACAGTGGAAGAAATTTCAAAATCATGTAAGAGTGCAGAGACAAGGAAGTATGAATTACTGGGAGGCCTTCTTATGTTCTGTTTGCCAAATTGTGTATTCTCAGTGTGAGCCTTTCAAATTGTGATGCATTTTCTGGAATAGCTTTTCATAAACTTTACTTGTCTTCATTCTATCTTCAATTGTTTTCTAATTGTCTCATTTCTTATCTCCAACTGCATAAATTGTAGGGGAAAATAAGCTTGCCTTACATTTTTATTATTTAAAAATAACATGGGCTGTGTACCAGTGGCTCTCATCTGTACACCTAGCTACTCAGAAGGCAGCGATCTGAGGATTGATTGTAGGCAGCCTGGAACTCATGGGCCTATCTACAGTTAACCATCAACAATCTGGAAGTGATGCTGTGGATCAAGTAGTAGAGTGGTAGCCTTGAGCAGATAAAGCTCAGGGATAATGCCTAGGCCCTGAGTTCAAGCCCTAGGACAAGCACAAAAAATAGTCATTATAACTTGGCTTTTTGAGTGTCACATAAAATTTAAAGACACATTTTCAAACTCTGTCCTCACAAAGTGTTTATATATTCAAATTGTCAAATACTGTACTGAAATTGTCAATCTGAAGAGAATTGACTTTTTGAAACATTAAGGATTTGAATCTCTGGTTATTATAATATTAAGCAATTGTTACCTTGTTGAAACTGTTTCTCTGCTGGCCTGCCTGTCTGTTTGTCTGTCTGTCTGTCTTCCCATCCATCCATCCATCTGTCCATCCGTCTGTCTGTCAGTCTGTCTCTGTCTTTGTCTTTGTCTCTGTCTCTGTCTGTTTCTCTCTCTCTCTCTCTCTCTCTCTCTCTCACACACACACACACACACACATGTATACATCATGTCAGGAAGTTAACAAGGATTTGGGGACACATTTGTTTCAATATTTTAGCATTTATTGAAAGTCACTTTGATGTTTAGGGTGTCCTAAATTTAATCTTAAAGGGACTTTTCTTTAATTATCACCTGAGTAGCATTTGTTCTTTATGTGTTTCATAGGTTTTAGAAAGCATTAGACATTTCAAACATTTTTTGGATTTCATTGAATCTGATTGACTAGGAGTTTCAAGACTGACAAAAACACAGGCTAGGTATACTAAAAACTTTCATTTGTGTTGTAGATTTTTGAATTCCAGTTGCCTTTAGAGGATGTGAAAGTCCTAGATGGCCTGAACAGAAATTTTAGATATGCTCCTGCTCCATTGTAAGTAACTTTGTTAAAGATATTGCTTCACTTTCTTTTCTTTTCAAGGCCCTTCCTTTCCAAACACTGCCTTGGCTCTTAAAAGGTTTCCATGGAAGCAGAAAACAGAATACTTGCTTTTGCATTTCTGAAATATGCATTTTGTAATGTGGTGAATAGAAATACCTTGAGAAGAGAGATTCAAAACCATGGGAAGTGAAGGAGGAAAAACTCAATTGTTGAAGAAAATACATAGTTACTATAAAAATTTTAATTCCTTTCTCAAGTTCTAGGTGTGTAGAATATGACACTGAACATGGATTCTAAATGAGGATACATAAAGAATATATACTGCATGTGTCTGTGGAGATTTTAATTTATATTGGAAATAAATTTAATACATTTGAAAGGGGACTCAAAATTTAGAATAGTCTGAGGTTAAAAATTAGGAGATACATATACATATATATGTAATTACTATAGAGAAAAATGAAGGGTAAGGTAGAGACATCATAACACAATGCTCTCATGTGGCAATCAGTCAGTAGTTCTCATCACCTATTAAATATCTTGACAGGGCTGGGAAGGTGGCTCAGTGGTAGAGCGCTTGCCTTGCATGCATGAGACCCTGGGTTCGATTCCTCAGCACCACATAAGCAGAAAAAAAAAGCTGGAAGTGGTGCTGGGGCTCAAGTGGTAGAGCGCTAGCCTTGAGCTGAAGAGCTGAGGGACAGCCCCAGGCCCAGAGTTCAGGCCCATGACCCAACCCTCCCCCCAAAAAAATCTTGACAGATGCTGATTTTTAATCACTTTCTCCTTTGTGTTTTTAGAAAAATCTACCAATCATATAGCAAGATATAGAAGTGTCTATGTTAAATGATATTCTTTCCATATCTGAATCTCACCTAGTAGGTTTTTTGCAATGGGCAGAGAGTAATCAATAAATTAGTAAACCAGGGGTGAAATTACTAACCGTGAATCACACACTTTATAGTAATTTTCATGTTGGTAAAGGATGGAATTAATTCTGTAGTAAACTTGATAAAAGCAGCTTCCATCCTCCTTGAGAAATGAGGTAGAAAGGACTATTTTTCCTTTCTTTGCTTTGGAAGGTTGACAGAAACAATGAAGAAAAATAAAATGTATCAAGGTTCACAAATTCTGCATTTTGTTATGTTCTTTCTAAGCAAGAGAGAAGGCCAGAAAAAATTTAGTCTTTATATTGTAAAAGCATGCTATGTAAAGTCATAGTCATAAAAATTAGAACAGCAAATTCTCACCTGATCTGGACATGTCATGATTTCCAATGGAATAATAGTTCTATAGATATAATATCTTCTCTAAAAACAGATCCTAGAGCTCATGATTTGCATTCTTTGTCTTTGTAGCCTTCTTGGTCACCCTAATTATCCTTTTTCTGATGAATACTGAAATGGAGGCCTGTGTGACGTCTTCTGCTTGAAGCTCCTGTGTGGAGAGGGTCCTGGGAGGCCTAGTGGCTTTGTCCTTTGGATATATCTGTTCCACTCCATTGGTGATGCTCAGTGGTTTCACTCAGCTAAAGCTGAGTCCCCTAGGCTGGAAGAGAAGGCTGTACATTGTCATCACTTTCTGAAATAAACCTAAAGATTCTTCCTAACACTGTCTTTGTCACTTGCATGTTTCCCCCCTCTCACCTTCTATAAATAACCCAAACTGATTTGGCCAGAAGTGTATAGACAGGTATCAGGGACCATGCTAGTCATTTTCTCTCAGACTCCAAATTGATCACTATTATTTTGAGAAGATTAGAAATCACATATGAGATTTAATAATCATACAGTCTTCTCTTTAGAAAAAAATAAAATTTGTTTTCATACATGTGTATTTATAATACATATAGTGTGATATTACATCATTGACTCATAAATTCATTATTTTCCACTATTACATTACAATCTCTCAGTGTTTATAATAATTCATTAATGATTTACCAGTTCCCATTTGAATTCCACCACATATTCTATTATATCAAATTTTAGCCACCTATTCCAAAATTTAACAAATTTAAGATATTTTAATTTCTGTTTATTTATGGATAATGTTCAGTAAGGTCATGAACTGCAGAAATCAGTTCATAGGCACAGTGCATCTTGGTCAGTGTACCTCCATCCACTGCATCTTCCATAGGATGTGACCGCCTTTGTATTTGGATATGTGACCCTGGGAAATCAGGTTTCCCCTTAGCCATCTCTTGTAAGGTAATAAAGTAGAAATTAAAGGAATGTATGGAAAAACATGAATTTTAGTTCTACCTAGATTGAGCAAAAATTAGAAAAATCCCAAAAGTTCCTTCTAGCAAAGCAAAGGATGCAATCCATGTATGTGAGAAATCCGGGTTGGTGGTTCTGTCCAGTAGTTAACTTGGAGGTAAAGAAAGGTTCTAGGGAAATGTTCTGATAGAGGTGCATAGGCCCACGGATTCATAAAAAGTGGCCACATGAATGGGTGCTGGTGGCTGACGCCTGTTATCCTAGCTACTCAGGAGGCTGAGATTTGAGGATCACGGCTCAAAGCCAGCGTAGGCAGGAAAGTCCGTGAGACTTTTACCTCCAATTAACCACCAGAAAACCAGAAGTAGTGCTGTGGCTCAAGTGGTAGAGCACTCACCCTGAGAGGAGGAGTTGAAGGATAGCTCCCAGGCCCAGAGTTCAATCCCCACTACCAACAAAAAAGAAAGAAAGAAGAGCAGCCCCCATATCACTGAAGAAAAAAAATTCCATCCATCATAGGTAGATCTAGAGGAGGTAGTAATATATGGAACAAAGTTTATTGAAGTTTTATTGAACTTTATGCATGAATGGAAATGACATGATCAAGCCCTTTACTATGTACAATTCAATATATGTCAATAGAATAAGAAAAAATAATTTTATAAAAATAAATTGATTTTAGTTCTCTTCTTATACATGAAACATTACCTCTGTCTTCACATTAGTTAATTATTAGACCAGTAGAAACACTGGTTAATCATTACACAGTTACACAAGTGACACTGGTTAACCATTAGTCAGGGGCTATGGCTATAAGTTACTCAGTGTCCTGTGCAGGCAGCATAAGGAACAGCATCTGCTTAGACAACTGACTAGCTATGAGTTGTAAGGAGCATTGTGTGAAACTAAATGATGGTCATTTCATCCCCACACTGGGTTTTGGAACCTACACACCTGACAAAGTAAGTTATCCTATGGTGGAATGTTAAAAAGAATGTTAAAAAGAATATAGAAAAGAATTCTAGAATGATTGGAAGCTGAACTGGGTTGACATGACTTAGCCACTTCTTGTATGAGGGCTGGGAATTCATTGGTTTTCACGTCTTCTAGCTATGCCCACACCTTCTTGTAAATCTAGATTATTTGAGAATACATTCTTTTCATCAGCATTTAATCTGTCAAAAAGAAGCTGGGTCTATAGCCTCCAAAACAACATTTGGGGTGTCATTTAGTATTACAGAAAGTGAAAATTCAATGGTCAGGGAATGACCATAGTGATAACTTGTTTCTCCAAATACTATTTCTGGTTGCTCTCCTAGGTTCCTAAGAGTAAGGCCTTGGAGGCTACCAAGTTAGCTATAGATGCTGGCTTCCGCCATATTGACACTGCTTACGTATACCAAGTGGAAGAGGAGGTAGGGCAGGCCATTCAAAGCAAGATTGAAGAGGGCATTGTGAAGAGGGAAGACATATTCCTCACCTCAAAGGTATTATGTCTACAGTGTGTAAGTATGCAAATGAATGGTGTGATGTAAGAAGAGAAAATTATGAAATCAAAACAGTTATTGGTGTACCTTCTATTCTTATTTATTTCTCACACAGGATGTATTATGTAAAACAGAGAAAGAGAGTCAGTGGATCATGCCTGTAATCCTAGCCACTTAGGAGGCTGAGATCTGAGGATCATGGTTCAAAAGCAGCCTGGGCAGGAAAAACCGTGAGACTCTTGTCTCCAATTAACCACTAAAGAACCAGAAGTGGAGCTGTGGTCAAGTGGTAGAGCACTAGACTGAGCAAAGAAGCTCAGAGACAGTTGTCAGGCCCTACATTCAAACCCAGGACTGATAGACTCGTATGCACACAAGAAGCAATTTACAAAGATCATGACTATTTACTGACTGTATATAAATCCATAACATTGAAGTGCCTTTATGTGTATGTCCTTAACTCAAAGTACCATTATTTAGAATGGGCTCTGAGGTGAGATAGACTATGCCGAAATTATGACTTCCCTTCTCCCCTTGTTTATTTTCTACATTTTCTTCACATTTAGGAGATCAGTTTTTAACACTCATAAATATCAGAGAATTGATATTATCTGGATAGTAAATGATTTTCAGTTAAAATGTACTGATTTGTATAACATGTTCAAATGTTCAAAATATGTCCCTCCAGCCATGTAAATATAAAGATGTTAGTTGTTCATGTATTAATGAATGAGAGATGTAGAGCAATAATAAATTTATAATGTGCATGAAAAGTAATTCAGAGATTGGAAATCATTATTACTTGATTAAAAATTATCCCTTTAAAATGTATTTCCAATTTCTACATATCGATGAACAATAACCCAATATTATGGGATTCACTTTGACAGGGCAAATAAAAGGAAATCAAAATATGAAGGGTGTGTTTTCCAACATCTGTTTCTTTCCAGTACAAACTGAATCAATCTTATGTGACATAAACGTCCATGCTTGGATCATTTAATAATCTAGCACAATTTCTATTTTTTGACTTCTGTAGCTTTGGTGTACTTCCCTTCATCCAGATCTGGTCCAACCTAGCTTGGAAAGATCACTGGCAAGCCTCAAACTGGACTATGTTGACCTCTATCTCATGCATTATCCAGTGGCTATGAAGGTAGGCAATTTATATTATCAGCTTTTTCGCGATCAATATGTATGACAAACTTTGTAGGTATGACCATAATTTCCACAAATGTTTGAGTTAAGCTTCTGTCAGGAACTGAAATAAAGTTTATTTGTATGTTTTACCAACTATGCAAGTAAATTAGACAAATATTAATGGATTAAGAGGTACAAAATTCAAGTGTTGTCTATATTTAGAGATTACAGATAACAGTTCAAAATGACTAGGCTTATACAACATTTTCTCCCATCATTACTAGAGGCTTCTTTGTTTCTCAGCCTTGTTTATTGGTGGCAAATGTGGTCTTGAAACAGTTCAAGTGTCACAGTCATTAGCAATCAGTAGCTTCTCCACAACTTCCATGATCAAGGGCCGACTTGGATATAATCTATACGAGCCTGTCCTTGAAACAGCAGGTGTTCAGGTAGCTAAAAACTCTTGATAGTTAAGGCAGGTTCAATATAGAGATCCATTGTTGATGATGGTCTTTTTCAGTGAAACTTATACATTCCACTAGAGGAAACTGTTGGAATAAGTAGAGTTACCTATGTGAACAGGAGACTTCATCAGGACTGGTGGAAAGATTGTTTAATAATACTGTACACATAATATTAGTGAATAGAGCAACTTATACACCCAAAGATATTCCTAAGAACTTAGTACACAAGCCACTTGATAGTTCAGTATGGGGAGTGAGTGAGGCTCTACTCACTTTTTTGTATGTTCAGTGACTCATTCCCTCTCATACAAGGGTTGTATGGATAACAAATATGTGACTAATGAGACTGATGTAAGTGATTCTTTTCTAGCCAGGGGATGACCTTTATCCAACTGATGAACATGGAAAATTGATATTGGACACAGTGGATTTTTGTGCCACATGGGAGGTGAGTGAGTATTTGAAGGAAAGGCAACAGAGGAAGCTGTCAGAAGAGAGCTGGGTGATATTTCTCTACCTGACAATGAGGTATATAACCTTGGTTATTAACATTCATTGGGTTTATGAGGATGTTGTGCTGGAGCAGTGGATAAATTGATGGAAAATAATAGAGAGAAATGGAGAGAGGTGGAATCGAAGGCAATAGGAATAGACATCTTTGTCTTCTTATGTAGTAATGTCTCCAATTCTCCAATAAGGACCCAGAAATTCTTTTTCTGTCTGCTATTGTATCTTTTGTTGTTATCTTTATCATTTTCTCCTTTGGGCAGTCGATTCTAGTGAGTTTGTCATTTCTGGCCAGTCTAGCTGGTGTTTGTTTGTTTGTTTGTTTGTTATGGGATACTGGGCGATCAAACACAGAGCCAAGGTAACCTCACCTGCTCTACCACTTAGCAATATTCCTAGCTCCTGACTGTGTTCCCTTGAACAGTTCCATCTTTCATGTGTATTGATGCGTGAACCATACAAATGACTTTTCATTTCCACTTGCTCTGCAGGCCATGGAGAAGTGTAAGGATTTAGGGTTGGCTAAATCCATTGGGGTGTCCAACTTTAATCACAGGCAGCTAGAGAGGATCCTGAACAAGCCAGGACTCAAGCACAAACCTGTCTGCAATCAGGTGAGCTGCCTTAGCCTCCTCTTCACCTTTTATTTCAATTTTTTTATTGTGAAAATATTGTACAGAGGGGTTACAATTGAAGTGCCCAATTTCGGACGCCCCCTCACAGACCACCGAGATCATGATCAATGCAAACAGCAAAGAGTTGTTTATTGCAAGCTCGAGCTTGGTC